AAATATGTGAAGTCATGGCAGAAGAATGAGAGGAAGACCCCCAAGCAGTAAAAAAAAAAACCCAACCATCCAAAACCCCCACCAAAACTCCCAATTCAGAATGAGAACTGCCAGTGTCTGTGAAAGTTACACTGCAGCAAGCTCTGAAGAGCCAAGATGAGGCTGCCAGGACTCAGCTGGTGGTCTCCTGCCAGGAAATTACACTCTAGTCTGAGCAACATCCCCATCTCTCAGGTGACATCGACAGGGAGTCACAACAGCTAAAGAGCCCTGAAAAGCCTGGAGACTGAGTAGCTCTCTTCTTTCTCCCTCCCCCAAGCGTTGTTGTTCCGGGTCAATAGAGCCAAGGGCAACTGGCACAGAAGACATTGTTCTCAAGGCAAGATGACAGCAGGAGAAGGAAATAGGACGCAAGAAGCAGAGAGATGATGTGCCCTTAGGCCAAGAGAGATGTTGCAGGGGCTAACATGGCCCCTGAAGAGCTCCTACTCAGACTCCATCTCCACTGCAGAAGGTCCTAGAAGTCCCTCGGCCCCAGCTTCCAAGGAGTACCATCTGCAAGATGGAAAAATTACTTGCTAAGAACAAACAGAGGCGGATATTCTCCATCAAGGAGAATCCGGATATTCTCCATCAAGGAGCAGGTACAAGATGGGAAAGGACTGAGAATGCATGGGGACAGAAGGGTCCCATCATGCAGGTCTCAATAATAGGAATGTCTTCCTGCTACTAGCAGATAACCTGCCATCACGCTGCTGGCTTTGCACAGGCAGATGAGATCACGACTAGAAGCAGTTGCCACCTGAACATCATAGATACAGTAATTATTAAAAGCAGAGCACAGCCTTGAGCGGGGTAGGGACCCCCACAGATCTGTGTAAGCAGTTGCTTACACAGTAGAACAGTAACCAGTAGAAAGCAGTTGCTGCTTCCAGAACAGAAATGCAGTGTTTTCCCTGCTGTCAGCACCTGCGTCAGGCTCCTAGTTTCTCTTGAGCTACAGTTCTTAATTGGGATAGATTGTACGTTTTCTGCTGCAGCCCAGCCCGGCTCCCAATTTAATTGCTAGTTTATGACTTAGCCTGTTTTGTGCTTTCCATGCTACTTCTTTCCCCATTTAATCTAATAGAATTATAGAAAGTATTTCTGGGAGGACCTCAGGAGGCCACACAGTTTATCCTTCTGCCCCAAGGCAGTATTTCATTTTCAACAACATCATGTGTCTTTTGCTATCAGGTCAGATTGATCCAAGATGTATAGTGGGTAAAGAAATGAAGCTTACCCAGGGGAGTCAATTGGCATAAAAGACTAAATCCAGCCCTTTAAGTCACTGAAGTTATATCAGAAATAACCCTGGTCCAAATGGTGTCATTTATCAGATCAGTCTTCTAAAAGATGTCCTTTCTTAAGTTTTAAGTCTCTAAAATGAACAAATCTCTAAAAGAAACTGTTTTGACAGCCCCATTTCAGTATATTTAATGCTTTATTATGAACAGCAGTGACCACTCCATTGTTAACACTGAACAGATCTTATCACAGTAGGATCAGCTTTGAAACTCCTATTACTCCCACAATAAAACCTGATCTTTCTGGAATTTTACATCCTGCATTTCACTGCACAGTAGTCTGGCAAGACAAAACAAACCCATTAAAGCATCTTTAATATGACAACTTTACACAAATGAATTTCCAGTAAAATTTCAGAATGTCAGACAGCTTCTTAAGGTTCTTTCTTCCAAGACAATTTGACTAAAAATTCCACTTTTGTTTTCTTTCTTCTATTAATCTCTCTAAGAAGAAATGTCTTGCAGCCTCGGGAATAGATAATGCAGAAATTAGAAGGATAAAAAAAAAAATCATCTGGTAATGTATCAAGCTAAGTGAAGCAGGGCACAAGTATAACAGGGATTCTGAGCAAAACCATGAGGACCAAAGGAAAGGTAAGAATGAGAGGCTCCAAGGAAGAAAGAAATGATTTTGCCTAATCAAATAAGCAAGAAGGAAAAAAGACTACATATCTATTAAAAACAGCTAAAGGTCTGTTTGTTTCCTCCTCCTTCTTTTGAAATTTCAGTTCTGGTTGAGTTGGGTCTTTTCTGTGTTGTAACACTCATGCTGAGCACCTGCAGCACTGCACAGCTGGACAAAGCAGGGGAGCTGTAAGAAGACAACAAGCTTCCTGGTCAGCAGACAGGCTTTCCGTCTTCCTCCCACTGTTCTCCACAGCACTCGTAATTCAGACTGACGCTAAGGCTGTAGGCAGCAAACACACATTCTCACCCTACAGATGTGACCACAACAGTTTGTAAATACAGTAAGAGAAACTTAATAATGGCTTCAGACTCTTACTCATCCTGCTCGCCCAGCTCACCTATTCACCACCCTGAACTTCTTCACACAGACACAAAACTATTTTCCACAGCCTTCCCATGTCTGGCTCTCGTGTTCTCTTCCTACTCTTCACTACTGGCCTCTACAATCAAGGTCACAAATAAGCTAGGAAAACAGCAACAAGCACCACCTGCATCATGCTTGTATTATATAGCACATTAGACAGGAAGGACAATATACTGTGCTTTTAAAATGCATCGAAAGGGGTGGATGGTTATTGTCAAACACACCCTTTTGAAGGACATTAAACTGTGTCTCTACATTAGTGCTTGAAATAGTCCTGTAAAAAGCAAGTTGGACAACATGCTTTAGACATCACTTCTTTTCCAATTGTAGTTATGGCCTGTGGAAGAGGGAAAGGGGCAGTGGGTGAATCCCTACTGCTAGCTAATTGGATCATACATTTTCTCTCTCAGGCAATATATCTTTCCCTGCATGGGATGCATTTTTCTTCACTAACCTCTCAAAAGCAGCTTCCCCATAAATCACAAATCACCACTGCAAGCATTCCCTTAATGAGATCCTCCAGCTTTTGCATTCATTTAATAAAACAGAATTCACCAATCTTCATCTTATTGGTGCGTTTAAAGTGTTTATTTGAAGTTATGGGAGGTCCTTCTGGTGCAGAGAGATGGACTCCCTGGTTAAAGATTGCATAGGATTCATTTTATTACCCATTCCCAAGGCATTCATACCTCCTATGTACACCAGGTCACAGGTGGCATACACATCTGGTATGTTATTTTCAATATGAAGAAACATGTGTCTTGTTTTGTAATCATATCATCAATAGAACCAGGGGGAAATGAGCTACCAAATCAAAACAAAACTTCTTTAGCTCTTTAACTAGATCAGCACAGCATTCAAAATAACTTTTATCCTCAATAGTCAGAGGTACCAGCACCTGCAGGCAAGAGTCTACTCAGCCTATGTAAACCAACAGACAACCCCCAGGATTAACAAGACAACCCATGTAAGATACATATGCCAGTAATACCAATCCAATTAAAAAATGAGTGAGTCTTCTGGTTACCCTAAGATCATGGAGGACCCTTTCCTTCTTCAGAGAAAGCAGGAGCTTCCCAGCTGTTCTGTAATTTTTGAGGTGGCTTCTAGCAAAAGAACCTCTTCTTTTTTGTTTCGTGTAGGTTGAGCTCCTACTCAACCTCTTTAGCTGGTATTCATGTTTCCTAGTTAATTCCCAGCATCAACACACTGTTGTCAGTGAAATGAGCCCAGCTGCTTCTCCAGATTCTTGAAGTGCTTCATAAACTCTGCTACAACATCTGCAGCCATATTTCTTACGTTCAATTCAATGTACTTTTCCTAGCACTGAGCATAAAAATGATTATAAACCATAAGTATAAAAGTTTTGAAACACAGATTCCTGAAAAGCCTGCCTGAAAAATCACTCAGTGCTTACTCTCTACAAAATTCAGCTTCTCTTGCTCAAGGGAATCTACCATAATCTGGGAGAAGGGAATAGTTAAATTTTTGAAACTCTCGGTGTTAGGCTCAGTCACAAGCCAGGACCTTACCACGGATGCTTTTGCACACGCAACATCAGTGCTCCACACAAAAGAGCAGCTCTCTCTAGGCTTCCACCCTTTCTAATATGAAACTTCTACCCAGACATGGCTGAGTCAGAGTATCTTATCCAGGCTGTCTTTCATTTCCCTAGTCCCGTTTCCACTAGCAACACCAGAACCGTGGTCTTTAATCCTAAAGTCAATGACAAGCAGAGAGAGTTTAACGAGAAACAGGACTCTGATTTTGAGATTGAGAACTGAACTTAATCAGAATGGTATTGCCAAGTTCAGCTGACAAAAATGATACAAAAATACATAAGATGACAAAGACATAATGAAGAAAAGGTAATTTGTTCTACATTTTGGACTCGTCTTTAGAATAGAAGAGGTGTTCTTGCAATTTGACCCCATTTTGCAGATTAACAAATTTGGATGTGCCTGCAGGAAGTCCTTCCCGCTCACTTCAAGGGAGGTGGCAGCCTCTGTAGAACTCCTGTGACCTGGGACCAGCAGAGGGCACTGCGTCACCAAGTGACAGCGGTACGGACGCGAGACAGTTCCCACCAGGCAGTGACAGTGAGCCATGTCGAAGGAAAGAAACATTCTAGAAATCAGAAACACGTATTAGTCACCAGCATATCACTCCTACAACTGCTAAGGGCAACACTGTTAAAACAGGCCTCAAACTGTGGGCACTCCTAGAAACACACCTAAATCCAGCTCAGTCCCCACACATCTCGGTCTCCAGGTGCTGATTTTAGGGCATAGGCCTCCTCCAGAAAATGCTTTTCAAGAGGTAGGGCCAAATCAGTCCTGCCCTGCAATGTATGTATCAGGGCTGGGTTGCTTAAGTCGAAAAGCATCCTGTCAGCTTCCTCTCTCTGTTTCCAAACCTCTAAATCCTTGTTTGTAGCAGCAGGAAGTCTGTTCAGACAAGAAGATATCAAAGCAAAGAGCTGGCAATTTCCATTCTGCCCTTCCCTTTTACTCTCCGCCTCCTCCAACCTAGCAGATTTTCAGTGAGCAGAGAACTAAGTTAGAGGACATGAAAGGAATGCTGAGGTAGCAACTTCAGAAGAGTGTCTTTCCACTTGCTTATTTCTAGTTTATTTTGAATTACCAGAAGATGACCATGAAGAAGCAAATAGCTCATCTTTTTTCTTCTCTCTGTATTCCATCCAGCAGGATTCTAGGCACCAGAAGAAGCTTAGAGGATAAATAAGTCATACCAGTCATGCTAGTGAGTGAAAAGTTTCCACTTTCTCTTTGTAGAGTTGGTGGAATAACTTTGCCAGGATGTGGAAAGGGGCCTCAAAATTTTTCATCTCCTTCTGTAAAGAAATAAGAAAGTTATGAATGACAGATGGAATAACCACTTGACTATTTACGTTCTGCTTCACAAAAGAAGGATTAAACCCGAGTTAGATGACAAACAAGGGGAAGAGAACCTCCGATTATCTTTTTTTACCTGAAAGAGAAGATAACTACAAACATCCACTTCCACAGGCAGTGAAAGGAGCAGATACTCACCACTGACATCTCACAGTATTCCAGGCCATGTTTCTCAGCCCACTTCTGTGCTTCTTTCTGCTCCACAACTCGGCGATCAGCTAGGTCTGTTTTATTCCCCACTAAGACACCTGTAGAAAAAAAGACATGAAACGAGAAAAAAACCAGCTCATCAATGCTGACTTGTTAGTAATAAAGACTGGAACATTTGTAGAAGTAGCTGGAAAAGCTGGAGGTGTGGAGAAAAGTCTACAACTACCTAGAAAAGGTTCAAAAAAGGAAACATATTCATGCCTTACATGCTTTGTGATAAAAGCAAATGAGTTGGAAGAAGCCCTGACTTAAAATAAACGCTCTATGTCACATCTCAATGGGAAAAACTGCTGTCATACAAGAGGGGAGTACATAACAAGAATCACGGCCATTTCTTACCTGGGATGTGCACCCCAACTGCTTGAGCCCTCAGCTTCTCCAACCATTTGGTACAGTTGTTGAAAGATTGCTCATTAGTGACATCATACACAAGGCACAGAACGTTGGGTTGCTCCCACTGCGCAGCAAGAAAGGAACATTGTCAGCTCTAATGAAACTGATGTTGTCAACAGCCTGGCTGTAAACACAGCAAACAGCTGCTAAGATGAAAATAAAAAGCCGAATATATAGGAATCCTATGCCCTGGCTGAGGTTTCACATTTCAAATGACCCAACTAAATGGATCACTGGCACTGGGAGATGTGGTCTTGCTCTCTTTCCCTATTCTTGTCTGTACAGTCCTGCTCCTTTACTTGTATCCGCTCTGGCTTTCATCTGATCACTGGGGAAGCTGATTCTTCATGCTGAATCAGCACAAAATTAATCCTAGAGAAAAAAGTAGAAAGGTTTTCTTCCAGTTTGAGAAGCTGAGCCAGCTTCTAAAGGAGTCCCTTGCAAACCAGACCTAGTGCAAGGGCAGAAGTGGAATTGCCTCTGGTAGAGCAGTGAATCATTAGGTTGACTTAGCCATCTTATGAAACCTCACATCAACTGATTCTACCTCTCAAAATGAGATAACACAGTAGAGAACTGTGGCTAAGGCCACAGATATGTGAAGGAAAAAACCCAAGGACAGTATTATGCTCAAAGGACAAGAACGAATCCTGTTAGATCAAACACATCACTGTAACACAACCCCCTCCCCCACTATTGAAGTAGCAGCAAAACAGGTATTTTTCTAAGAAATAAAAATTACTTTAACCAACAGTACACAGAAATTCTCAGTTAACAAATCTGTATTTCTTTTGTAAGAAAACTGCCTATCTACTTTCCTTCCTCTGGAAAGTATTTCTCCTAATACTTCTACAAGTTTTAGAGAGGTAGAACAGGATGTGTTGGCAACTGAGGTAATTGCTCCCATTTACACTAAAGACAAAGTTTGCTACATCTGCCAGACCGAGGAGTTCAGATCTTCAAAGCAAAAGTGCTTCTTTGGAAGAAGAGGACTGTTACATAAGACTTACCAGTTTCTCCAGCATCTCAGAAAATAGATCTTTTCCTGCAGAGTCAAAAATGAAGAATTCCTGAAAGCGGAAACAGAAAGAAGGCTCTTGCCAAGAAAAATGCAGTGTAGGGAAAGGGTTTGAAAGTAAATACTGCAACTTGTAACTCCTACGTTTTGTTCAGTACAGCAATGTCATGTCCCTAAGGGACAAATTCCCTGCACTGAGAAAACTCTAGATAGTGTGAGAAAAATAAAAAGCTGTATTTCAAGTATAACCAATCAATGGCTTACCTCCAAGGCTCCAAGTCTGGTTTTCATCTCTACTGGAAACAAAATATGTGGAGTGGGACAGTAACCTGTACTATTTACATGAAATTATACATGTGGGTACATTCCATTAGTGGGGGTATAGGGCATTAAGGGAAAATAACAGATAAGTTTCAGCTTCTTTAGTTTCCAAGAAATGTGAACTAAACCTGAATGCCCTAAAGGACAGAACAGAATCTCAACAAAGCTGGCAACAACTTTGATTTACAATGTTGTGTTGGATATGACTATGTAAAACTTATATTTTTAAGACTGAACTAACCCTGGAGTATCAGCAATCGTACACAGTCAGGCTTAGTTCCTTAATGCAACCTAATTGCCATATGAACATGCACAGTGATCTTCCATCATAATGAGACTCGTGAGGTTTGAGCTCTGGATGTCTCTTTCTGACCCAATTTATGTCACAGAAAAACTCACCACACTATCACTTGTCTCTGGAACCGATACAGCCTTTACCAACAGATCTATGCCCGTTGTCTGTCAAGAAGAATCAGGAAAACGAGGATCAGAAGAGTTTTTAAGAGCCTGTCCAACTGCATACCAACTATGCATTGGATTGAGGCAATTCTCGTGAATTATTACAATCCCATCAAACACAAACTGCTGGGAACTCAGCAATACTCCTCAGAGCTCTGGTAACATAATCCCACCAACATGTCAAAGACTCGTAGATTTGCTCAGCTGGGGGAAAAAGGAGGAGAAGAACCAAAGAGATTTGCTTATATACAGCTAAGAGTATTAGCTGAAATCTGCAGGGCTACATCTACTCTCACATTGCTGCTCTAACACACGTCTGAGAACGTTTTGCACCAACCATGTGATCAGCTAACATATGGAACTGAGGTTATTTGTGCTTCTTCCACCTTTTATCTCATTCTGCTTTGTAGCTTGTTTGTTTGTTCTATTTCTATCCTTAACTTCTGGTTTCCATCTTTATTTCAATGAATAAACAAAATTTAGGGCTTTTTTCCTCCACACTCATATTTTCCTTTTTTTACTTTACTTATATTTACTTTTATTTTTATACTGATTCTGATTAGTCATCACCATTGATTCTTACACTGAAAGACTGCAAACTGTATCCTCTTCATCTGGGAACAGTTTCTGTAGATTATAATTATCTTGGGGCTATGCAGCACATCTTCGTGTTTGCATAGTGATAAGCACACTGTCCACATGCACATTTAATAGCTGGAATTAAAAGCCTTCTCCTTCAGCGAGGCTTTTTCATAGAGCACTCCCTAAAGGGGGAAGCTCTCTAACACCACAAAAGCTTGTGAAAACATTGGTTCGTCAGAAAAATCAACTAAATTACTCTGCATTAAGTTTCAACACCAGCACCCACATAATGTAGACTTACATAATATTAAAGGGTTTCCCTTCAGAATCTAGGGTGTAAGAGAAAGAAAACCCTACAAGATTCTACACTGAATGCCTTGACTAAAAATCATACTGATTTTGCTCTAGGTCTCCTAATTTCCTCATTCTACTTAGAAAAATATTAGACAGCAATCGGAGCCTGTTGTATGCTTACCAGTGTGTAGTTCTTCTGAAAATGAGCCCCATCACTGCGAAACATCTGGGCTAAAGCACTCTTCCCCACAGCCGGATCTCCTGCAAAACCAAAACCATAGATTTTTGTTTCATTCCAGAGAATCTTATTTTCCCTCAGTTCTGTTTACTATCACATGCCCTAAAAGCCTGGATGCTCTAACTCTGACTACAGGCAAGATAACTGTCATATGAAGCACACATCAATCTAAAAGGTAATACCGACATGAGGAAATGAATATTGCCATTATGCATGCTGGTGCTGACATTAGATTTATGATCTATGAACAACAGCAAAGGACTGCCAGATCAGGGTGGAACTGCTGCTTGTTCTAAAATTCATGCCTACGCCATAGCCCTTATCTAACAATTAAAATTTCCCAGATATGCTACCATGTAGAAAAAATAGCAATGTGATAAGGGACAGTGGGCTGCATAGGAGGCTATTTCCTCTCCTTATGTTACCCATTTCCCCAGATTCAAATCCTTGTTATATACTGAGACAAAGCTGCTTAAGCTGGTAACATTCCTCAATGAACTCTTCTTGCTGATCCTGCTAAGAGAGCAGCTCTTGCTGACTCAATGCTGCTGGTGGCTCATTAGTTGCATCCTGGGCATAACAGAAGCAAATGTCAGAAGAAAGAGCCTGCTGATTCATCCCTTTATGGAAGGAAAACCAAGGGGCTTCAGTTTTTGCTCTTCTAGAGCCAAGGCTTTCTGATATGGCTTGCACAACACTTTGGGCAAACCTGGCAGCTGCTGGCTTTGGCTGCTGCTACAAAACTCTGTAAGATCCAAAGCAATGGCAGAGAACTGCAGAATTCACATATGCCCCTATTACTTCATGAAAAATACCATAACCTTTGCAAAACAAAGACTTAAGTTAATCATAGAATCATAGAATCATAGAATCGATTGGGTTGGAAAAGACCTCCGAGATCATCGAGTCCAACCCTTGGTCCAAATCCAGTCCATTTACTAGATCATGGCACTCAGTGCTTCCAAAGGGTTTATAATCTCTTCACATAATGTCCTTCTAGGTTGGATAGTTAAAAGGACAGGAGCCAGGAATTAAATACCTCAGTGGTTCAAGCTTTACCCTTTAAAGGCACACTCATAACAGCCAAGCCTGGAACACAAATCTTTTACATTATGTTGTTAATAAATTAACCCAGAAAGGGGTATATTTTGACCCTGTTACAGCTTCCTAGATGGTGTTTTGAAGGAAATTGATAGACTTATCTGCCCACATAATACTACAGAGGAGGAAGGAGGTTTTGGATAGTAACAATTGCTCCTAGATGCATTAACCAAACGTAGCTCTTGTTTAAACATTTTTAGCAAGCTTACTTACTTTGAGTTGAGTTGGGCTCATAATATTTAGACAGGAAAATCTGGTAAGTCAGCTTGTTTTTTCCCTGATCAGTTCAAGCTTGTGCGGAAGACAACACTGTTCTGAGTGGAAGCTATTCCGTATTTCAATAGACAATTAGATCGGTCTTTGTAAAATGAGAGAAGTACACACTGCTCCAAACTTCGAAGGCATCATCCAGCACAAATTCTTAACTAATGCGTTGCCTTTTTTCCATCTGACAGCCCCAGTTGTTCTTTCTCTTTCCTTATTCTTTGCCATCCTCTTCAGCCTGACATCACTATACTTCCTCAAAATAAGTTTCCTTGCCCTTTTCAATTAGTTTGGTCTCATCTGCTAGTACTGCATCCCACAGCATATATTCTACCCATCTTTCTGTTATTTTGCCAGAATGTGTAGTGTGTCCAAAACGCCTCCTACTGCCAACTGTCTCTGCAATGAAAACCTTTGTGTAGTGTCTCCACAGCAAGCTCACACAAGAATATCTCTTACTGTGTGTCTGTAAATTACCCTTGAGACAACACAGGAATCACTTCTACTGTCAAGTTAATAGTCTCTGTTTTGCTAATAAAAGCCCTTTTCCCCTTTGACCTTGGTGCAGCTCCCAATTCTGTGAGCCATTGACTCTTCATAACCATTTCCTTAGGTACACAAAAGCTCCCTGTTCCATTTCTGATCATTTTGCTCCTACATATGTAATTGCATTTTCTTGTTCACTTTAGGTTGTTGTGGTTACTAATCTCTTATGTCTCTTTCACTATATTGCTCTCTTCTGCAAGAGAGAAGTGATTTTGCCTGGTCTACTTCATTAATTTATTATTTTTAATAATACATGGATATTATTGTAGCACATAGGAGAACTACATAAAGGACAGGATCTTCCTGTTGTTTGTGTTGCAAACAGAATTGAAAAGGCAGCCCCAGACCCAATCAGGATTAAGCACATAAACATGCCATCCAAAGAAAACCTATGTGATTTAAAAATGGTTGTAGAATTGGCCTTGGCAACAGTAAACAACAAAACTAGAAAGACTTTACAAAGCCTATGTATTGGAAGCAGGAAACTTCCAAATTGGAAATAATGTGTAAGTTTCAAATCTAGAAGACATGCAAGATACTCATGCTGTCCACAGCAACAGAGGCACAAGGGAGATTAACTTTTGCATTTGCCAAAGACCACGCATGACTTTGTGCGAGTCCATGGCCAGCTGCTTCCAAGGTTAAAATAGGCAAACATTTTACTCTGTATGAAAGAATTTGGAGTGAAGAGTTAAAGTTGGGAGTTGACTGCACACAAAGGTTTTATGGATTTGTGCTTCTGGCTGAGGCTGCACAGAGTTTCAGTGTAGAGGGAGGGAAGAAGAAGTTTTCTTCCTGTGGTGTTAACAATCATCTGTACTTACTTGCAACAGCTCTATAATCCATCCTGACTAAATAAATCGATATCTTCACCTCACTTTTTTCCCCCAGGTTAACCTCCAACTTGCTTGGGGAAAAAGACATGTCTGTGAAGCGCACGTGCTTCATCCTTCTATTCTTTACTTAGGCTTTACCTTTCTATCACACTCAGAATCACCCCGATTTCTGACATGAATTTTTCACATCAGCCCAAAGCAGGACTCCGGAATGAGGCAGGACTCAGCTGTCTACTCTGCTCCCTTCACACTTTCCCCATCCTGTGCCTTCCTTTCCACACTGCAAAAATACTCTTTTTGGTGAGGTTTCTCCCCCACCTGTTTTTTTTTCAGATCCTTTCCTTGCATTTCAGCCGGTCCGACTACGCCTCACACCCTCCCTGGGCACAGCTCTTGACTCCCCGCGTGTCGCAGGAGGGAGCGGACACGGGGCTGGCAACGATAAACGGGATTTCCACCGCTGCCGTCCCGAGGGAACCGAGGTCCTCACTCCTCTCCCCACCTCTTCTCCGTCGGGGCGGCCCCTCCACGAGGGGCTGCGGGAAGCCAGGCCGGATCGGCTGCCGGCCTCGCCGCACCCCATGGCGCCCGCTCTGGGCCCCTGCAGCCAGCAGGGCGGACGGGATCGGGCGGCCAGACTCACCTGCCAGCAGGCACTTGGCAGCGAGCTTCACCATGGCCCCGGGCAGGCGGCGGGCCGGACGGGAGGGCGGCCGAGCCGCCACGGCGCTGAACCGCGGCCCTGGCAACCGCGCGGCCCTGGCAACCGAGCGACCGCCCGCACATCCCGGTTGGCTGCGGGCTCTGCTCGTCAACGCCTCTCGCACTTGTTATTGGTTCTCTTGACTTTTTCCCGCCCACCAGGCGCGCCGTCGTTCAAACCCGACCCCCGCCCCTCCCGGTGGCGCCGCGGCGCTATGGGAGGAACGGGGCGAAATTCCGCCCGGCAACTAAGTACGTCATCGGGACTCGGCTTGTTATTGGGTAGAGCACAGGGTACTGTACCACGGGGTTGAAATGAACCCTCTGGGGACGCGGCAGAAAATAGTAAAAGTAACGGCCAAGGGCTGCGGCAGCACCAAGGAAGAAAGAGGCAAGCGAGGGTGAGAAACCTCCATTTCGTGCCTATGAACCCACGCGTGCGGAAGGACCCTGGCAACCGGTGCCTTCCTGCGCATGCGCTCTGCCGGGCGCTCGCCTCTCCCCCCGCCCGCAGCCGTCCCTTCCGCCCGTCATTTGGGTCACTTTTTCCTCGGGGCTTGGAGGTGGAGCGGGAGCTGCACCAGGCTTTGTGCTTTGCTGCGGCAGATTTATAAGTCGGCCACGAGGCTTGATCAGCACGTTTAGAGCAGGCAGTTTGTGAGGCCGCTGTGTCTAGAATGGAAGTTGAGCTGTGCTTCTTCCCAGCCCGGGCCAACATTTGATCCCTTATCCTTTCCTCCAGTTCACACTTTGCCTTGTGTTTGACTGTTATACTGATGGCGAAAGTTCTCTTTCTGATTTCTTAGTAGCTTTCTTCTTAATATTTCAGGATTTTGGTCCTTTTTCTCCCCCTTTGTTGTTTTTGTAATCTTTCACACTGCAGTAGGTTGGTTTCTTTATTGTTTTTCTTAATTTTCAAATATTTTTGCTAAGATCTCCTTTGACTACTATTAAACTATTTCTCTGCCCTATTCTTATTCTTTGAACTGATCTTCTGTCTTCCTTAAGCAATCCAGGTCAGTGGATTTGGGTTGGAGCTGGAAAAGGTGATAATGAAGCTTCCTGTGTTTTCCTCTCCTTCCAATGTCTTACGCCATCAGCAAGCATACCATTAAAAGCAATGAACATTTTTTAGGGTATAAACTTCTTAGGGTATAAACTTTGCTTGTCTACACTTTGGGTTGTTTACTCTGGAGCACAGAATCTGCTTGCTGTGAAAAGCAGTGAGTAAGCTTGGGAAGAAAAGAATAATTAATAGTGCATCTATATTGGGGTTATAACATTGTACATTCCAGAAGTACTGTTGGTTGAAAATAAATTGTTCCAAGTTTTATATTAATTTCAAGGTAGTGCCTGCTTAGGAGGCAGCTTTTTTTTACCTAGGATGAATGACCCATTTTACATGTTTGGGACTATGTGACACATCTGCCAGACACCTAACCAGGCAAGAAAATAACATAAAAATAATGAGATCCCATAGCAAAATCAAAGAAGTCTTTTATATGGACATAAAATAACATTGTTTCTCTTAAAAATATGAAAGGGACTTCTCCAGCCTGAGTGGGTAAACCTAATTGTAGATGATAACTGTAGTGAAGTATAGTGATGGAGTCACTACTGAGGGTTCTTTTAAAAAGAAAAGAAAAATCAATCCCAGGTCTCCCTATTGCTTTCACTGTTTTCCATCTCTGAATCCTCCATCACATAAGACAGGTGTGGGTTATTGATGTTCTCCATCACTTATGTCTAAATAGCTTCCCTCCCCTTTCATCTTTTCTGCCTTCCACTCCATCTTCCAAGAAATCCACTTGTGTCTGTGTTGTTCCATTTTAGCAATCTTTGCATTATCCTTTGTTGTCTATTTGTAATATTGTCCCAGTTTACTGACAGGTCTGTATGCGAAGGCTTTGAGGCTCCATTATGATTTACTTCAGAATTATTGATCGTGGCTGCAATGTAGTAGTATCCATCAGCATTTGCTGAGGTAAAACATCTCTAACATTTTACACTGGGATCGGTGTAATAGAAGGCATAGATTATGTTGGAAGTGAGATTTTTATTGCTGTTGAAAAATTCTGCTTGGAATCTGGCTATGCTGCTTTCCTATTAGCACCCTGGTCCTTTATCCCATTCCCTCATTTTCTACTTACCTCTGCATGCATGTGTGCACAGAACTCTTAATGGACTTGTATCCTCTCTATTTCTTCTGTCCTTTTGCCCCACACTTTTTTTTTTTTTACTCAATCTCAGTCTTTTCCTCCACCTGAGTTCTCACAGGTAAAAGTTGTTCCATTACCAGCTTTGACAGTGATAGATTAAGGATGGAATTACTTATCTGCACCTTGTAATACAAACAGAATCACAGTCTGCTGTTAGCAGTCCACAGGGGTTGCTGCTGAATAAATTGGAATACTGGTAGCTGTGCTCACTGAAGCTTCTCTCATCTTGAATACGTGAGAAAGAGGGGAAGAGAAATCCTGTGGATTTAAACACCCCCCCCCCCAACAAAGGATGATGTCCTTACCCTAGAGAAGTGTTTATTTGGTTAAACCCTGTATTTACCAGCTAAGGAGAAATAGAGCACTCTTTTTATTCACACATTTCATTTCTTCCTCAAATAAAGCAAGATTCCGGTGAGTGGAAAGCACTCCTTCTCTCATGTGAGCAGGATAAGTTGCCCTGACAGCCACAAGACCCTGAGATTTAAAGTCACATTCCTTTAGGCAGTGGTCACAAAACAGCAGATGAACTGCACGTGTCCGTGAGCGGCTTGCATTTCGTCAGGGTACAGAAGGCAACGATGGTGGAACTGCAGCTCCAGCGGGAGTGGCAAGGAATTTCAGGCGCAAGGTAAGGCTTTGCACTGAGGATTAAACCAAGGTTGTACAGTCTTTTAGGTTGATGCATGGTTTGTGTTTCAGGTTTTGTCGGGCACTTCACAAGACATACCTGTTAAAAAGTGATTTTTTGTGAGGCAGAATTCACTGATATTCCTAGGACTTGTTTTTATAGTTATTCATGTATCAATGCAAACATTCTGGATATGTTCAGAGTTGGGCAGGTTACAACCTGTAACTTGAGCATGCTGCCTAATAAAAGCTACTGAGGAAGTACTGTAGCTTTCTTTGGAGTATCAATGCTTCTCAGGAGGGCATTAATGTTGAGGAAAAGGAATTAGTAGGTCTTTCTGTAAGAAATCTCTTAAATACAAAGTATTTTGTCAATTCTTTTTTAAATCTTATGTTACTAAAAGGAAACAGTGTGACAAAACGGCATCAGAATTATCTTGCAAATGGATGAATATTCAGAGTTCATGCAGCTTTTTTAATCTGTATAGATTCTTACAGGATTGGCTATGAATGTTTTTTGATATATCTGGAGAGCTTTGAAAAACTGTAAGAATGGATGTGCAAATTTTATTGTAGATTTCTGTTCTTTACATTTTCCCCAGGCGGAGGAATAAATAGAAACTTCATCTATTTTGAGGGCTACTTCATTTGGCATCCCCCAAAATTGCCGTTTGTTTCTCAGAGTGGGGCTATTAGCACAGAAATGAGAATTTGGATGCTTTCTCTATCACTGTTGATAATGCCATTATAGTTCCAGGTCTTCCGATTTTGCTCTTTTGTGGCAGGGACTGAGACACAGCTATGAAGGCTTTTTGGCTGAGAGTCGGTGCACTGAAATATGTGAGATGATTATAAAATGGTTGAATCAGCCAAAGGATTACAGTTACAACAACCCTTCTGACTGATCTGGCATATCTGTCACTTGTTTCTGATCTACTCTGTTGGGAGAGTGGAAGTTAGAAATGGATGGCAGTTGTGGCATCAATGAAAAGTGGTAAATTACTAGATGTAGGGTAGGTGCCTCCACAAGGCATAAACTTGGTTTGAGTATGCTAATTGAAACTGTTGTGTCCTCTTTTCTAATGAATATGGAATGAGGGAAAGATTTCTCAAGGATGCATTCAAATCCACAAGGATAAAGATAAAGGGAATTTTCAGGGAGTAATTATTCTGCATATGCCTGGAAAAATTCCAGCTTGAATCTTTATTTTCTTGTTCTTGCACATGGAAGCTAAGGAAAAGTGTTGGGAGCAAACCCTAAAGTCTTTATTTATTTTTTAACAATATACCCCAAAGGATTAGATGTGGATAGTTGATCGGGGAACCGGAACTTCATACAGAAAGTTGTCTGGATCTCTCCATGGGGGATAGTCTGTGACAGACTGAGGGCTTGCTGTGGCCTTGTGTGTGGCCTGAGCCTTTCTCAGCTGTGAGCGCCGTTATTGGAGCAATTGTGTCATGCTCCTTTGCACAGAGCCGTGCACAGGGGGATTGGATACTGGTAAGTGAGCATTCGAGCACGCTCCTGCATCACGGGGAAGGGGTTAATCTGCCAAACAGAGAATATATGAATACGTGACATCTTTAAATGAGCTACCCACAATTCCAGCTCTCCAGTCATTATGTGGTGATGAGGACTATGATAGCAGCTGGGAATCTTTTTTTGGATCTCTAGCTGCTGTCTGCTTAAAAAGCAGCTGCTCAGTTTACACTAATGCTATATCTTATGTTAAAAACCGCAAGACAGATTACATTTAAATAAAATAATGAGATTTATTAAAAAATAAAAGTTTATGTTTTGCTTTATATTCTGTTTGTGCTTTTAGGATTTGAATGTTCAAGGTTCTCCCTGCAGGCATGACAGCTAGAATGCTTTTCCCTTTGCTGAAGACTAAGTGTCAGCCGTGTGATTCCGGGACTTGGAGTTTTAATGGAGGAAGGAGAAGAGAAATCTTTGAGACTCCTTATTGGATTTTCAGAAGTTTACAACACTCTGTTTTCTATCCTCTTCACTTTTATAGCAGGTTAAATTTTTAGGCACAAACCTTTTCACCTTAATTATGTCCTTTCTTTTCAAGGTCAATTTATTATAATGAATTTATATTATAATAAAATATCTTCTGTTCTAAGCTTTTCAAATCCTCACTCTAATCATCTCCAGTTCTTCCTGCACTGGATTTCCTTTTCCTCAGACCCTGAATTTCAGTTCACTCTCTGGCC